GTAGACAAGCACCGCCGACCTCAAGTGTTTGATGTAGGTGATGAGGTTATGGTCTTCTTAAGGAAGGAAAGGATTCCCGTAGGTACTTACAACAAGTTGAAGCCTCAGAAGTATGGTCCATATAAGATCGTGAAGAAGATTAATGACAATGCCTATGTAGTGGATTTACCGGATCATATGGTTATATCCAAGACCTTCAACGTTGTTGACCTTCATCGGTACCTGCCGGAAATAACACTTGCCTATCTTAGTCACGACTCAGGGTCGAGTTCTTTCCAAGTGGGGGAGAATGATGGAGGCCCATCTCACCCCTAGGGGTGGCAGCTCCTAGGATAAGGTCAATTCAAGATAAGGTTAAGTCCAAGAATTCAAGATAAGCAAGAACTGATCCATGATTAGCAAGATAAAGCAAGACTCTTTCAAAGATTAGCAAGATAAAACGTGACTCTTCCAAGATTATCAAGACTCCAAGAAGCATCAAGATTAGCAAGATAATCCAAGATTCATGCATCTAGGGAGATCGGACGGTGGAGATCAGACCAAGGAGAGTTCGATCCTATCAGATTAGATATTTAGATCTATCCTAGTTGTTATTTCCTAGTTCTTTTACAGTTTCCAAATGTATTATAAATACTGTTATTTTCCCAAAATTATTGATCAATTCATACTTCATATTTCCGAATTTTCTTCAAGGTTTCCTTTTTGAATTTCCGCCACCTTTTCTCTCTCTTAGAGAATTCGGTGTTTTTCGCTAGAAGCTAGCGATCGCCCGGTGCTTGCATAGCCAGCTCCGGTTTTCCATTGCTTCCACGCTACGTCATATATATATAGAAACAAGGTAGTTGGGGGAGGGGTTGTATGTATGAATGCAGATTTTAAAACAAAAGGAACAATGATTTACTCACTGCTGAGCTAAACAGCAACGTTAAAACACCGTGAATAATGAATATAATACCTGAGTGAGGGAGGGAGGGAGGGGTGAGGCTACAACTCTTAGTCGTTTGGGAAATCAAATGCCTGTAGAGGCTAGAGATCCCTCCGTCTCCTATTTAGTTCAGCATTTGCTGCTGAAGCTTAAAGCAACACATTCATGCTCAAGTTGAATACTGAAATGTAAACATTTATTGTCGCAACTCATAACAAAGAAAGAAGCATTAATAGAAAAGCAGCATTATTAATTCATCTTCCACGACACGACCACGAGAGAGCATTGCAATGTCAAAAATTTCTCATACCCAACTCCCCTTTTCTTTTTCTTGAGATATTGTATCTACAGCACCATGAATTGGAAATTTCTTATATTTCTCGTTGTTAATCAACGTACAAAGTATTATCACCAAAAATACAAAAACTAATGCTTGGAATAGGCAATCATTAAAGATAGGTATGGTGGTAACCCTTTCTTTTTTGGCGGGTAACTAAGAAAGCATCGATAAATCCTCTTTGGTTTCTTTATTTGTTTTGCACCTGTCTATCCAAAATCAAACCATTTGGCAAAGGAATGAAAATTTTCTAACTGGCTGTCTTAATGTTAAAACACTGCCAAATCAGACTCTTAGTACGTTGAACATGGTCAGTGGTCACACAACAGGAAGACTATACTGAACACTCTGTAACAGCCTATTTGAAATAAAACACTCTGTAATCACTATACTGAACATGAACCCAGTATGATTTACATTCTCATGCAAAAAAAACACATGAACCCAGTATTGCTAATAAATATTCATAATACAAGCAAAGATTAAATAATATATTACGTACATTAATTACAAATACATATAAATTACATAATATGGAAACTCATATTTGGTAGGGCGTACAATCACAATGGAAACCACAAACCCACCCATCAAGTTCATATGAAAAATATCTATTTCTTAATTATATATGTTATAGTTAAATGCATAAATATATCAACCACCAATACCATCCAAGCCCCCCTGTTCCCACTACTATAGTCACCACACCTAGTATGACTATCAATTTCGGATTCGACTATGATACTGGGGAAAAAAAATCTCATCCTTACTGTTTGGAATTTGACTTAAAATATTCCTATGTTTCCTAACAATTTACTAAATCCTTATCCTTTTACTGTTATGGAAAGGACTATTTTATTCATCGTTCTTTTTTAAATTTCAAAATAAAAGATTATTTTACTTTTATCTTTCTAATATCTTCCGAAAAGAAAAAAAAAAAAAAAAGCATGGGAAAAGACCTAGCAGGCTAGCACCAGTAGCAACAGTAACGGCACAGGTTGGTTGGTTAGTTAATTACACGTTCACTATTAATACAGACATCAGCAGTATACTTGCTGACCAAGAAGGATAGTGTAATTGTTTATGCTGATAATAATATTTGATTGTGTGAAAAAAGCAGGGTGAAGACAAAAGCGAGAGCCAGTTGATGAAGCCATCCCTTAAGACTGCTATATAAAGCGTATGCATATATAAGAAAAATGCACGCTAAGTAAAATTTTAAAACCTTTGGTTCTGCATTCAAAAAATACATTTTACATATTTCAAAATAGTCATACGAAATTCAAAACATTTTCTTAAAGAAATGCATCAATATACATATCAATACACGATTTGGCCAAACCCAATTGGACTAACCATATACAACAGTCGATGAGCATGAGATGAGAAAGAAATGCAATGGGGGATATTGTCAGTTTGTCAGCTCATCCCAGCTTCAGCGATAATATACCTGGTAACTAGGCAGCTACGCTGGAGGAGTCCGCGGATCAGATCTTTACACCGATCTCACAGCGTGCCTCAACCGCACATCGAAAACATCTCCTCCCATACTTCAGGGAGATTTCCCAATACATGGTGAGGAGCAAATCCCAATTCACGCTGATCCCAAATGGAGATGGGTTGACACATGACAGATTGACACCAGATCCTTCGCCTCTGCATGCTTGATTTTTGTAATTCGGGTGGACAATTTGATATACACTTGTGGACAAATGAATACGTTTACAGACCATGGTGGGATAGGCTCCGATTGTCGGCACTCGCCACTCGAAAATAAAGGAGTGACGAGCAATCCAATTCCAAATCCAAAACTTAAATAGAGGACAAGTGGGAAAAGAATAATTTCAAAACAAGGACGTTTTTGTATATACACGAGATATTCTTGATTCTCCATTGCTTTTGCTGCATCAGTGCAAGCCCAGGGCGGCAAATCGAAACCATCGGCTTGGTAAGCAACCCAGCACAACAAGAAGCTGAACAAAGTGGCTGGCAGCATGTGTAGCTTCTTCACTAACGCTAACCTTTCTTCTTTTTTTTTTCTTTTTTTCCAGATTATTTCTGTATATTTCTATCTTAGTACAATACAACAAACAGATACAAAGCAACTAAAAACCTTAGGAATGAGAAAGACGGAAGTAAAATCAGCCCATTTTCATTGAGAGAGGTTGCAAAGCTATTATAATACAGAGAGCGACAAAAAAAAACAAGCGCCGCAAAATCCCACCTACGATAGATTGATTAACCAAGTCTGTTTACCTTCTTCCTAGGTCTCCTCCGCCATGCCACGATTCATCTTCCCTCGTACTACTACTACTACTAGCCTGAGCCTGCCCACTATACCGTTGGCGTTCAGAGGTGGCATAATGCATTTTTATTGCTGCCACCGGATCTGAAACGCCTGGACAATTCCCTCCAACAAGGATCCCTCCACCCACAACACTTCTTCCCTGTTGTTGAAAACTAGTCACTTCAAATCCATTCCTCTTCTCCAGCTCCGAGAATATGCCATGTCCCTTCACATCCACTGTCGTAAATGGCTGTAACTTCGTTCCATCATAGCTTCTGTATGCCTGATAATCTGCCAAACCTCCAATTCCATCTAAATCCTTCGTTGGAAATACTGACACACAACCCATGTTCAGGTCATTCCTCTTGACAACTGGCACTGGTTGCTTCCCTACCCTGCAGGATGGTGCTGAATAATCACCGAATGCTGCTGGATATTTTGCCAATAGCATAGCAGAATCTGGTTGCGACGAAAGCCCAGTCTGTATTCTGCTCCCATCCCAGAAACCATGACTCCTCGCTGGAAAATCTTCCAATCCCGAATAATTGCTATTATCAAGCTTTATTGAAACTGCAACTCCATCAACCGCATGATTGGAAGTAGACTTCAAGTTGAATGAACTGCTGCCTAGTTTGGACGATGCCCCATTTTCATTGTTCTCTGGAGAACTTGAATTTCGCTTTGAAGCAGGAGTCGGATGGCTCAGTATCTGACCAAATAGTTTGACATCTCCAGTTCTTCGTGACTGTTCTTCTGTATCTGAGCTACTCCAAGAATGAGGCCTTGGATGATCAATTGGAGATGGTTCTTGACCCTTTGGCAGAAGTGGGAGCTCAGCCACTGAATGGGTAAATCTTGAACTATTGCACTTTTCATGGTATAGTTCCTGCATGTACTGGCTATGTTGGGATTTCCTTTCCATCTTAGAGAAGCTTTGGACCTTAGAAGATTCCTCACCACTTTTTGTATCTACATCCGTATTTTTGGCATTCTTATTCAGCACCTGCAGTGGATACCCTTTGAGAATCTGGGAATGCTCAACCCGGTTCAGTGACTCATGTCCCAACAGAATTTGCTGAAAAACATCTGCACTTGAAGATTTCTGCTGTTGCTTGTCACCATGTACCACAAAATCAAGGGTTGATGATGACGCCCTACATTGCTTTAACTGGTCCTTGCAATGGACTGACGAATCCAACCCAACAGAAACTGAAGGGACGTTCTCTTTTTGCTGCCAAGAGACGACCTGAGGCTTCTGTATAGAAGAAAGAAGCTCTAGAGGAATCTGATGAGGATATGTAGCAGGTAGAGTATATGCTGGATTAACACCTTCCCTCTTTGCACTTGATTCAGTCGTGAAGATGCAGGATGTACCTGTACAACTATTTCTGTCTATACCATTTGCGGGATCCTGCCCATCAATCAGCACTTTTTCAGACACTTCTTGTCTTTTATCTAGATCAACTTTAGAGTCCTCACAATCACTACATGGCAATGGGTGGAGATCAGCTGCAGCAATTGATTTAAACTGGCCAACTTCCTCCTGTTCACATGCAGATACAGGCTCTTCCTTGGGAACGATGACTTTATCAGTATGTGGTTCTTTAACAATCTCTCTCTCATCAGCCAAAGCAACACTTCCAGAAAGTTGCACGTTTGGCTCACTGTTCAAAACCACATCTACATTCACATCATCTCTGTTAACCACCTCTGGGCCAATGGAATTGTTATCAGCATCTAAAACCTTGGCAGACTCTGCCCCTGCCCGACACTCGTCTGGCACCATGGTTTCAACTTTCATCTCAGAGGCTTCTCTATTTTGTGTCTCTATCCCATGTTTTTCACCTGATCTATCCAAGTCAATCTGCAGATGGGAGGGTTCTACCTGTAGAGATACCCCACCATTCATGTTTGTCACAGATGATGCCAGATCAACCTCCATCTTGGAACATGACTGGTTGCTGCAAATAGCTGATTCCAACTCAACAAGACAAGCGTCTTCAGTGTCACTCCTCCCGCCATTGGTGTCACTCCCTGGCATTTCTTCATTGACTGTCCCAGGATAAAGCACATCTAAACCAAGACATTTCCGAGCCTTGCTAAAGAAGATCCTGCATTGATCCCTGGACCTTGTCCTGACATATCGAGAGATCTTGGCAAAATCCCGGCCATATAATCTCAGTGCCTGGATGAAGACCGACTTTTCCTCATCAGTCCAATCCACAGAATCCAGTTCCCCACAGCTCTCATCTGAACAAGTTTCTTCATCATCAATGTTCTGTGAAACTTCAGGGGTCAACAGTCGATCTTTCACTGAGCTCACCTTCTGGCGCTTCCACTCCTGACAGCCCTCTCCTGGATCAATTGAGCTCGTAACACAAGAGCTCATTGCCTCTGATGATAAAGCACCACATATACCAACCAACACATCAGCAGCAGCAGCTTCTCTTTCATTCCCAAGAATATCAACACTACTTGACCCTTCTAAATTGCAATCATCACCCTGAGATAAACTATGGTCATTATACCCTCCCAAAAACAACTTTCCACCACAATTTTGCTTTGTCTTGAAATTGGCATCAGCAGTAGCTGCTATCACTGAAGCAGCCCCTAACAAATCAAGTGAAGCAGCATTCCCATCACGATTCCACTTCTTCCCTGAGGTGACTAGGTATGTGTTGCTAGGGAAGCTTTGTTCTTGTTTTCTAAGTTCCAATTTTTTCTTTATTTTCTCAAAGCTCTCAGATTTCTGGTTCTTATAGTAGAATTCAATGCAATCTGCCGTTGTCTTATGATCAAGGAAAGAGGAAATTTTTTTGAAGTCCTTCCCAAATGTTGCAAGCATTTCCATGAAAATTTCCTTTTCTTTAGATGTCCATGGGTTGATCATTGCCCGCTCCTTTTCAACAGCACATGGATCTTCGACTAATCCATTACTTGTAACCAAACTAGAGAGCCTTTTCTCCTTCTCATCCAAAAGCAAAGCTGGCATTCTCAAACTATTCCTGCAAACCTTAATTTGGGAATCTGATAGCAGCTTGCCAGCAAAATCAACTATCTCTGTCGTAGGAACCAGGGTCAAGTTACCTGCTGTAGAAGAGGAAGATATTGAAAGATGAGAGTAGCACAATTTCAAAACATAGATCATTACAAGTTCATAACATTCCTAACATGGTTCAAAAAAGCTAAAATCGAAATTCAATCCACTAGAAAAGGGAAAAGGTGCAAATAAACACAGCCAATGCTGTAAAGGTAGTCAGATTCAAATTTTAGTTCCACAACCTACATAACAACTTGAAAAACAAGCAATAAAGAATTCAACCTACCTAGCTGAAGTTTTGGAAAGGAACTTCCCAATGTTTTGGAAAGGAACTTCCCAATGTCCAAATAACATATGTCAAGGCCCTGAAATGTTTTAGCCACCTAAAAATTTCCCTGTGGTCCTTCCCAGGGAAACAGAAATACAAAACCATGCTCTACTGATACTGTATTTATTGTTATCACATATTCCATGTTTATGAAATAATTCAACTTTATCTGTTGAATTATAGAACCTCCCTTTCCCTGTATCATTCATAAGCTTGGAATAGATGTCTTCCAAACCTTAAGTATTGTAAATTTGTAATCAAGTGATACTTCTTTCATGGTTTTCTTTATAAATAGAATGATTACTACAGAACTTTAAAAAAAAAGTCCTACAAGAATCCAGTTATAACTCATGACAACCTTCTTGTTGGATGCTAACAAGTCATCATGTAAACATACACTTTCTCCTTGAAATGTACATACTCTGGCTCCATTATCCCGGGGAAATATTAACCGAAGGCAAATAATGTCTTCATAAATATTTTTAACAATCTTGCCTACATCTTTTTATGAATGACAACCTTGTTTAGTTGCTTATCTGAACTGTTCCTGGCACAATAATCTCCAACCATCTATACAAACCCTAGCAGGACTAGTTGGTAGTAGTTAGTAAGTTAAATCACAAGCTCTGGCCTCTGCAATCTCACAAACAAATACTCTTCTTCAGCAAGGAATAACCAAAATGACAACTGCCACACAGCCAGGCCTTGTCCAAAGTTCCCCTGAGGTACAAATATCAGAAGTCCCCATTCGTTGCTATCACATATTCCATGTTTACATGAAAGAATTCAACCTACCTAGCTTTCCCAGAAGGAAATGTGTCCTCTCTACATTGTTATAAGTACAAGTGTAACATTACATTTATGATACTGTAAAACTTAGATTGGTATCCTAGGAAAAGTTACAAGCAAAAACACTATTGAGATTTTGCATCAGATGATGACCCAGTATTTACCACCCAAACCCAACTTGCCTATCATTTAGAAATCTTCCAAACCAAGCCAGTTCCCAAGTTTCATAGACAAAGCAATTATAGAAGCAAAAATACCCTATTCCAAATGATGAACAATTGTAATTTTGAAATGGTCAACAAAGCAGGAACTTCACAAAGAGAATCTTGACACCCTCATAATACCATTTTTACACTTTCCACAACACATGTCCGAACTGGACATTGTATCAATTGCCTCTCCTTATATACACCACCACAAAGAAAAAGCACTAAAGAACTCAAGCAGATATCATCCTGCATTAGAAGTTAACTTGACCCTAGGAATCATGCCTTGCTGAAATTCCAGAACAGCACTTTAATATCACCAGCTTCAAGAATCCTATAACCAGACAATTATTGGACCTTCATTCTTCAATGAACAAAATAAGTTCAGGATTAATCGAGGCTATTACCCAATAAGCTAATTACACAAACCCCAAAATGAGTTTCTGAATTGAATCCGTGAACTCAAGGTATAACTTCAATCAGTTTCTAGACAAGAAAATAAATGACAATTAGCCAAACCTTTATATACATCTAGATGATATTTTGGGTAGAAATCTAGATCATTGAATGAACAACAAGAAATTCAATTGACTGTTCATTGATTGAGAAACCAAGGGGGTGTTCTGTAGTGTAGATGAGAAATTGGGCGATGTGTTTTCTGTGGTGTGGATGAAAACACACTACCCCTCAATGGGGTAGTTGTTTTGCACTGTGGACAAAGATGTGTGAATTGAACCACACCACACCTCCGTAGGCCTTTTGCAAGGCGTGGTGTATTTCAATCCACACCCAGTGTTATGATTCCATGCATCTCAGTTACAACATTTGAGATGATCTATGCCACTAAACATTAAAATCAATAATATACCTTTTAGTAGTATACATAATAGAGAAATATTAGTAAATTGCTAACGATAATAATAATTAATAAAAATAATATTAATAAGAGTAAATAACAAACAATAATAGTAATAATAATTAAAAATGAGTAATAATATTAATGCTAATTGATAATACTAACAAAACTGCTAACAATATTTAATAATAATTAAAAAAATTATTAATATAAATAAAAATAATATTTGAAACTTATTAATTAATAAAAAATATTAATAATTATTATTGTTAATTATTAATTATTGATAACAATAATTGATAAAAATAATTATTTATATAAATAAAAATAATATTCAAAAGAAAAAACTCTAATTCCATGGTCGTTGTTGTTTGTTACCACCTGGATATGAGTCCCACCCACCATCAGGTTCCTTCCGCCTCACTACCATTCCTGAACTTAATGACCATGATGAAGGCTTTATATCTGTTCCTCAGTAGATCGGCTCTACCCCTGAATAAATAGTTGTCGGGAGCCCCAGGCATGATCATAATGAATAACGGTTGGGAGTAAGAGGGGTCGGGGCTGAAGAGCCCACTATCTGTGGCACCACAGGGGCTCCCCTTGAGTTAGAGGTAAAAACTCCTTTTATTGACCTCCACTGTTGTACCCATGATAGAGATGACAGGATAATTCATGCCTTGGGAAGTTGATTTCATCTCAGCACGTCGATCATGAGAATCATCAAAGACAGAAAAGCTGCCATTCAAATCTATATGCCTCATTGAAGGCTGTCTTGATGATGAAGCTGAGGAAGGAGACGAGCTTTGATTGCCATTACGGTGATGATAAGGGGATTTTTCATCCATCCTCCAATCTGATGATGGGGCATCTTTTTTTTTTATCAATAACACTTTCATTAATCATCAGTAGAAAATTTACAGGAGGAAGACAAACACACTTATCTTCCAAGAGTCACTAAGAGCCTCATAAAAGAAAGAAAAAAGAAGAAAAAGAGAAAAGAAGATGATGGGGCATCTTCATTTTCATTAACACGATTCAAGTCCAGCTTGAGTCTCTCTACCCTTCTTGAACTCACTTCAGTGGAAGATTCCCCAGAAAGAAGGCCAGAAGATACTGGCATTTGTTTCATCAGTGACCTCGTCATCAACTTCAGCCACATTCTGATCAATATCAAGAACATCCTGCTTCTGCTTTGAACAGCATCTGCTTCCCTCGACAGAGGCTGTCTTCTCACCATCCAGAGTCCTGTTGGGAGATGGTGGGCAGAAAGCACTTGTTGCAGCAAACCCCTTCCATCCCAGTGCCCCCTCTAAAGAGGAGTCACAGAGCAATAAGAAGCATGGGATTAAGTTGGAAATAAATGTCCACAGTAGCGTGGACCTGTCCATGAGAAATAATGGACGATATTTTGCCCTGTGGTGTAGACCGATCCACGATATAGTGTGGTTCAGTCCACACCACAGCGAAACAGAACAATAGGTTTTGGCATTGTGCATTTCTAAACGTAATATATCATGGTGCATCCATACCACCGAACACCACCCAAATCTCATCAAAATCTAACAACAATAGCTTATCTATAGAGCCCTCAAACTAGAGACTTCTCCTCCAAACAAAAGGCAATCTATTTTTTCAAAAAAACAGTATCTAAAAAGTGGGTGTCTTCATTATCATATAAAAGCCTTATTCCTCAGACATGTGTCTACCCACTCACAGAAAAAGTGAAAGTATTTAAACTTCACTCTCACATAACTTCTGAAACATGGCTACCGATAAAAAAATAAAATAAAATAAAATAAAAGCAACCCACTTCAAAAGATGTCGAACCCATATTAATCTTTTCAACTCAATTTCCTTATTCAAATAAAAGTCATTATAAAGATTTTAAATGCTGTAGTTCCCAAAGTTATCCAATTACAAATTAAACCAGATCTAATTTTTAAAAAAATAAATAAGAAAACTAAATAAAAAGCATAAGCAATGAAACTCAAAGTGAAATAATAAATGGTGTGGGACCCATTCTTCTAGATGAAGTGGGGTATTAATTACAAACAAAACCTGATTTAATCTCTTGAATCAAATAAAAATCTATTTATCAAAAAACAAATGGGTAAAATACAAAAACCTCCCTTGAAGTTTCTGACAATCATAAAAACCTCTCCTATAGTTTCATTTTAACAAATACCTCCCCTAAGCTTTTGAGAAATTCAACAAAAACCTCCCTTCAATCACTGTTTCAGACACAAAACGCTAGATTGATGCACCAGTTTTTTCCAAATATCCATTCTACCCTTTTATAAATTATTTTACATACAAAATTACTGAAATAATCCCATTTTAACTCAAAGTTTCAGTAATTTTGTATGTAAAATTGCTGAAATGATCGATACAAGAGGTTTTTGTTGAGTTAAAATAGGGTTATTTTAGTAATCTTGTATGTAAAATAATTTATAAAAGGGTAGAATGGGTATTTAGAAAAAAAAAAAACAGGTGCATCAATCTAATGTTTTCCATCTGGGACAGTGATGGAGGGGAGATTTTTGTTGAATTTCTCAAAAGTTCAGGGGAGATATTTGTTAAAATGAAATTATAGGGGAGGTTTTTATGATTGTCAGAAACTTCAAGGGAGGTTTTTGTATTTTACCCAAAACAAATAAAAACCTAGCCTAAATTTAATAAAATTTATAATACAGATAATGGGTGTCAAACAAAATAGGTCAGATTTAAAAAGAAAAAGTGAAATAGTTAAGATTAGTGGCCTTGTACTCAGTACCCGGGGGGAGGAGGGTTCATTATCCAGAAATCCCAGAAAAAGGGTGTCTATAAAATAATGCCCTTGAGAAACAAACATATATAAAACTGAGTAAACACATCTCAGTAGAGTCCCCTGATCAGAAAATCCGTAGGCCACGTCAGTGAATGGATTAGAATATTAACCATATTAAATCTGTTCATCATCATCATCATCCATGCCTTATCCCAACTAAATGGGGTTGGCTACATCAATCATGTTTTGCCAATCCGTTCTATTTAAAGCCAAATGCATTGATAAACTATTAGTGCTTAAATCATATATTGCTACTTATATGCAAGTCCTTTTTGGTCTACCCCTAGCCCTTCTAGCCCCTTAAAATTAACAAACCACTTCTCCTATCTGGTATTATATAAACACACCATCATACGAGAATTCTAGATAACAAGGAGGATCATGCCAGGCATAATCATGTCTAAGTAAAAGATTTTGCAAATAAAAATTACTGAAAAACCATCAAAAAATAAAGCCTTTCTCAGAAAGCCTGAACTGATGAAGTTAATCATCCTTCACAACAGGAAGGAATGATGAGAGCCAAAATATTTTTTATTGTTAACACAATAATGACAGACAAACTCAAAATATACAGGCTAGCTTGTTACAGAAACCATAGAAGAACTATGTTTTCAATCAAAAGGAAGCACATGCATTTCAGTAATAACCAAAGATATGCAATTAAACAATGAACTGGTATCATGCATTCTTTGTAAAGTTTGGAACTTAAATAGTTACATTATCGTAAATGGAATTATCCAACGGAATGGTTTCACCATTAGGCATATACTGTTTGTATGAATGAGAAAGAAGCATAACTTCCTATTAGGATTCAGATAATCTAATCTATAATTTGATCAACCAAAAAATCATCAAGTTGATAAAAAGACTTTACCAACAGCTTCCTCAAATAGTAGTAACAATCATTCACAACACATAAACAGCACAGTGTGGAATTCATCACATGCATCTTAGATGACATCTACAACCATATATAAAAATGAAAAACAAACAAAGCAGGTATAACCTGCTAGCTAAAGAAGATTGAAAGAAAAGATGAAGTAGTGTTTTCCATATACACCTGAGGTCAACTAAGAATACACTGAAGAACAGGTAAACCAAGAATTAGAGAGAACATATCAAATCATATAGATATCATATGTTGCAGTAAATGCTATAAAATTTTAAAAAGGCAACAACCAATCGTGCAAGAAAGGAACTGAATCACCAATCAGTAAGGGGCAAGAAAACAAAACCAGATGAAAGTTCGCATGAAATTGAGGTAAAGAGGATTCTTCAATACTTAATGTTATGTGTATATGAGGAGGGGGGAAGAGAGAGAGAGAGAGCACTTACCAGGTGAAGTAAATCTAGAGTGAATTGAAGATCGATGCTTCTGACTCCCATTGTGCAAAGTTCGTGAGCTTAGCTCAAACCGTTTCTGAGACCTTGCACGGCACTTCCTTAGAGAAATCAAACGCATATCTTCCCTCCACAGGTGTTGAAATGCCCTATACTTGAGAGTAAGAACTCGCTCCTTGAATTTTATAAAACACTTCCTCATTGCCAGCTTCTCTTTGATGAGCAAGTTGTTCTGCACAGATGAAACACTATTACAGCCCACTGTATTTGTCTGATCTCGATCAGATGGCAATAGTTTATTAAATACTTCAGATGCTTTTCTTGCACAATCTCTGTTGTAAGCCAAGATTGAAGCATGCAGCACACTTTCTGTGTCAGAATGAGGCATGGCATTGTCACATGCTACAGAACAGTCATCATGCTTCACCACATCAGATAAAGAAACCTGCTTCTCCAAGGATAGAGGTTCAACACATTTGGAGGAAGCAGTTCCTGGACTATAAATATCCACATCTTTAATTTCACAATTAACTTCATCCAATCTGTCATTACATAGAAGAGGCTCCTCAACAACTTTCAAGGGACCAGGTTCTGAGTCATCAGCAGCTTCACACGGTTTTAATGCACCTTCTACTTGTAAGAATTTGGATGCAATCAAACAAGAATCAGTTCTTTTAGGTTCAGAACTCAAACATTTGAGTTCACTTTCATGTAAATCAATTTCACATTCAGTTTTTTCCAGAGCCTTCAATATATCACCCTTTAATAGCATCAACTTATTCATAGCAGTTGATTTCACAAAACTAGAGTCTCCAGAGCTTGCATCTTCAGCTTGTAGGAAATCAGCAAGCAGTGAGTTTAAACTAGCAAGAGGATTCAGCTCCAAATTCTCAGCAATGGCAGAGAACCCCTCAAGGCAACTATGACACCCATGACCTGGTGAGCTACTTAAATTACTTGCATCATTGTCAATATTTGACACCTTGTTATAAGGCTTGTCCTCCATACCTGCTACAACAACCAAATGAACAATGTAATTATAAATGCTGGAACAACTGAACAAAGGGTAAATGATTTTAAATGCCTAAATTTTCCATCAGTAGATGCAGAAATAACCAAAGTTGAAAACTAAGTACTAATATTTTGCACTAGGAAAATCACAACTACAATTTAAAAGCAAATAATGCAAGAAGGTAAAGGGATTAAGCAGTTATAATCATCATTTGAAAGTACAAAGAGAAGGGGGTCATTATGTATAACTAAATAAAGGAATCAACACTACCAACTATACAAGACATAATGCTTGGTGAATCATGGATCAACAAGAACTGCAAAAGGTTGCAAGAACAAAACAGAACCACTTCAATACTTAAAAAAAGGGGTATCAAAACCATCATCTTGTTTGTTTGCGGACATGAACCTAATCAAACAGCCTGAGTTGTTCAAAATACATCCTTTTCTAGCATCCACACAAACATAGCATTTCAGTATCTAAAGCCAAAAGTAGGATATACACAAGTGCACTTCTGCTTTGTATGTGATTGGTATAGCTTCTGTTTATTAAATAAATGTTTGTACTTGATTTGTCTTCAAAACTGAGAAAAGTATTTGATAAATCGTTTATGGACAACTAGGCGCCACACCAGTTGCACAGTGAATAAACCATTGGGGGAAGCGTTAAAATGAAGCTTCCCCCAATGGTTGGTGTGCACATAAATCAAAACACACTTTTGTGAATATCAATGCGTACGGATGAATATGATGGAAAAATGCTGATTTGGCAATGACATGGCAGCCTTTTGATAAATGCCTATCACGAAACGCCCATGGAACAAACACACGCTTTATAAGCATGAATAACATTAAAATGTTTCTGTTTCATAAATACAAGGTTTGATAGGTAAAAAAACTATATCCCTGCCAATTCCGGAAAATAAGGTGGGGTACTAGATAAGATGGTTTCATTCAGTGCATAGACCAACCAACTATTTTGCCCATAAAAAATGCAAGTTGAGGGTTCTAAAAGAGACAGGGAGATGTCCAAAAAAATGGATTGAAGAACTAACAAGGATCTACCCACTTACAATTTAACAGAAGATTTAGCAACTACGAGTGGAATTGCCACAATGAAACCTGTCTAGCCAACCATTGTGATGTGCATTAAGGCTATTCATTTTAGTTTAAATCTAAAGAAAATGTCAATTGCTTGTTTCAGAGTTTATGACGTCTAAACGAATACACATTTGGGAAAAAAAAAACATCAAAATGCAGCCTTAGAACCATAACCTGCTGAATTTATATACAAACAATGCATTCTGTTTTTTTTTTTTTTGCAAACTCAAATCATCAAAACAACTCATTGTGGCATGGAGCTTTATTAATTATGAGATCCATTTTTCCCCTTAATGAAAGAGACAAAGAATTAAAAGCATAGGGACAAAAGGCAAAATATCTTTTTGCAGAGGTAATGAGGCTGCAAGCAATATGCAGAGGACATCTAGAAGAACATTGTGCATAATTTGGAAATATGCCTTGAAATGGCAATACATTAGAACATCAAGAAAAGAACAGATATTAGAATTGGATATATCAACATTTTTTCAGTTTAAGGAGGTGTTTTTTTATGAATGAATATAATTTATTAAAGCAGAAATATGAGGCAATACAGTACACCCAAGAGGAGGCACGAGTTGTTACCTCTTCTAATAAATATTACATCAAACTAAAGCAGAATTGACCAGAATTAACCAAAACTAAAATTACAAAGCAGCCCAATATAAATGCTCCCTTGAGGCCCCTTGCTTAGCTAACCCATCCACTAAGGCATTTGCTGATCTTCCCACCCAATGAAAGGTAACAGACATGTCTTTTGTGATCCAGTTGACTTTCCTTACCATATCTCTATTTCGCCACATAGCTGAAGCTGGTTCTGTCAGCCATCCCACAACAATCTCAAAGTCCCCTTCAAGTACCAAGTGCTGGACTCCTGACTGTTCTGCAATCTGAAACCTTGTACTGCCGCTAATAACTCAGCTCTATTGGAGTCTCCTGTTCCCACAGGGCCTGAAAACAATGCTAATATTTTGCTTTTATTGTATCTCAGCACCCCTCCTATCCCGGAAGGGCCTGGGTTTCCTTGGCTGCTTCCATCAAAATTCAGCTTTACCCATCCTTCAGGTGGAGAAATCCACACAACAAATTTCTTGTCCTTCCTTGTATGGCCGTTAGCCACCGCTAACCAGTTTCTCCAAAAATCATCAAAGGAGAACGTATGAAATAGGTCCATAGTTCTTAACCAATGAATGGCCCTAGTTAATATACAGTCCTCAACAGCTTGAGTGCTTCTTTCCTCATCGTTAAATACCCTTGCATTCCTTTCTTCCCATATTGTCCACAAGGTGGCTGCTCTAATACATTTCCACGTTATTTTTCCTTTTTTTTTGTAAGCCACACAAAAAATGAAGGATCAAATAGCTGACTTAAATCTGTGGACACTGGACAGATTCCACCTGCACCCAAACAAAGAGAAAATCCAACTCCAAATGGCACTAGAAAAGGAACAAGATACAAGTAAGTGAGAGCAGTCCTCACCACTAGCCCTGCAAAGTACACACCAGTTGAGGGACAAACACAAAGAAGGCCTTTTCCTCTGCAAGCAGTCTGGGGCATTAATCTCTCCAACTTCTTAGCTTCCCTATTAGGAATCCTAAAAACAGAGAGAAAATAGACTGGTAGATTTGCTAGAGTAGCTCTCAATAAAGTCACTCTACCCCCTATAGAGATGTTCTTTTTCCAAGAAGTTAATCTTTTCTCAAACTTTTCCAACATTGGGGTCCAGAAACTACTCTCTTTTGGATTAGCCCCTAGAGGGAGACCTAAGTACTATAGAGGCCAAGTAGTGATGGAACAACCTAAGTAATCTGCCACAGTCTGGATGATCCCCTCATTCATATTCACACCTACCACACAACTCTTCTCCATGTTTATTCTCAAATTTGATACCTCCTCAAAGTGTTGTACCAATGCTCTAAGATTCCTCACTTTTTGCCTGTCACCCCTTTCACAAAAAATTATGATATCATCAACAAACTGTAGGTGGGTTACCCTAATGTTATTTCTTCCTATCTTCCAGCCACTCACTTCCTCTTCCCTATCTGCCTTAGAGATTAATCTGCCAAAAACATCTGCAACTAAGGTGAAAAGAAATGGGGAAAGAGGGTCACCTTGTCTAAGGCCTCTACAGGCAGGGAAAAAATCTTTGACCACCCCACGTTCACCAAAACTGAGTAATGACAGGAGCTAATACAACCCTTTACCTAGTTGCACCATCTATCTCCAAAACCACGGCACCCAAGGACCTCTAATAAAAAACTCCAATCCACAAGATCATAAGCCTTCTCCAAGTCTAACTTACATACAAAACCTTGATTCCCCGACTTTCTCATGTCCTCCACACACTCATTTGCTATTAGGATCTGATCTGTTATTTGCCTTCCCAGCACGAAAGCACCTTGTGCTTGACTAACAATGGAGGGTAGTACTACTCGAATTCTTAAAGACCACTTTGGCCAGAATTTTATAGATGCTTGTAACCATACTAATCGGCTTGTACTCCTTAGGGTCCCTCGCATCTATCTTTTTTGGGATTAGGGCTAAGAAGGTGGCATTAACTCCAGGGCTTACCCTTTTCATATCAGCAAACTCCTGAAACACCTCGATAAGATCTTCTTTTATCATATCCCAACAGTCCTGATAAAAAGCCATCTAGGCCAGGTGCTTTGGATCTATCCATTGAAAATATCACCTATCAAACCTCTTCTTCACTGAAATCCCTCTCTAAGCAAAACACTTGTTCTTCAAATAACCTAGTCCACTCCAAATTCTCCACTGTTGGTCTATTAATCAAAGGTTTTCTATAGATTGATTTGAAGTGATCCACAAACAATCTTGCTCTCATCTTGATTTGTGACGTCCTCCCCATTTACTTAGCCACAAAATTTTTCCTTCTCCTCCCATTAGCCAACGCATGAAAACCAGATTAAGGGGGTGTTCAGAACTATGGTTATTCCATGGATTGCTTGGTTCTGAAACATGCCACACCCATGTTCTTTTAGGGGTAAGGTGCATTTTGAAACCATCTATGGATGGTTTTGAAACACAAAATATCACAATCTCTCCCACACCAAAATTCCGTGGATTAGTCCAACTATTGTAAATTCAGTCATTATTATAGTGTATTTGAATAAATGACCAAGATATTTTATTGAAAATTTTGCTAACAATGCATCCATACCACAATGCAGAACACACTATAGAGTGTGTTGTTCTTCAAACCATGTCGTTTCGACCAGTGTTTTAAAAGTGCAAGGTGCAGGGGTCAATTTGTGCCTACGGCTTAAGGTGTAAGGCGATATGCGCACCTTTTTGAAGCAAGGCGCAAAAATTAAAAAAAAATCAAAAAATGCCAAAAAAGCAAAAATATTAAGCATAATATTAATAAAAATATAAACTTTAAATTTTAAATTAAACGTATTAATAAACATGATACCTAAAATTAAAAAACATAAACATTCCTAGACCCAATGGAACCTTCACTTGTTCTTCTTTCTTCAAGTCCATCTCTCAACTTTCTAATCACCAACCCTTTCCGTCAAAAGAAATTTGGTGCAGGCTAGTTCCCCAAATAATTATGGCATTTTGTTGGGAAGTATTCCATGGGAAAGTAAACACTCTAGATAACCTACAAAAGWGAAGACMYWTCCTCTRTATTTCTCCTAATTGGTGTATCCTCTGTAGAGCTCACGGTGAGGATTGTTACCACCTATTAATATCTTGTCCCYTTYCYGCARACCTTWGGGCTTGGCTACTTTCGTTGTTTGGGAGTAGTTGGAGTCTACCAGCAAAAGTTCACATGCTCTTCAACCATACTACCTTTTATTGGCCTACAAAAATAGGGAGAATTATGTGGAGATGTGCTCGTGCTGCCTTGATTTGGACTCTTTGGGAAGAAAGGAATGTTAGAATTTTTCAAGAAAAGGAAAATAGCAGTTAGAAATTGAAAGACTATGTGTTAAATAGGGCAATACCTTGGCTGAAGACCTTGGAAATCTTTCATCAATTCTCCTTTAATGACCATTGGAGAAATTGGTCAACAGTAGCAAGGTGTTCATCCCTAAAGGACAAATCAATTACAAGYTGGTCTCCTCCATCCGAAGGCTCACTGAAGTTGAATTTTGATGGAAGCAGCATGGGTAATCCAAGATTATACGGAATAGGGGGTGCTTTGAGAAATGAGAAGGGAGAGATTTTGTTGCTCTACTCAGGTCCCTTGGGAAGTGGGGACTCCATTAGAGCAGAACTTTTAGCTGTTGTACAAGGGGTGCAATTTGCAAACCAGTTGGGGGTACAACACCTAACAATCGAGGGGGATTCCAAAGTGGAGGTGGGTTGGTTGAAAAATCCTGAAGAGGCTATGTGGCGTTACAAGAATGAAATGAAGAATTTTAGTTGGTTGACAAGGAATATGTTGGTCACTGTACAGTGAGTGGGGAGATCAGCAAATACTTTGTCAGATGTGTTAGCTAAGCAAGGGGTAAATAGGGAATAATTGTTTTGGGCTCAGTTGTGATTCTTGCTTTTCTTTCCTAGTTTACTTGTAAGATTCAAGGAAGGGTTGCAGCTCGCGCCTCTCCTTGGGATGTTGTATGAACTCACTCTACATCTGCTTCTGAATTAATAAATTTATTATCATTCATCAAAAAAATTAAAATACATAAACATAACATGTAAAGAATATTCAAATGTGAATTTAAAAATAAAATAAAACATTTTCAAGCATGTAAAACCAACAATCCTTTTTTCATCAATTGCATTACTTAAAGTAGCTAATGTGATGTAAAACATATTACATTCTTGATTCTACAAGTTGCCTTTGTGCCACGCTCCTCGAGGCAAGGGGGTCTGGGGGCGGAGCCCCCGACCCAGCCATTAGGGTCAAAAAGAAGCAAAAGGCGCACGCCTGGGCTAAGGCGCAAGGTGCATTAGGTGTGTGCCCTTTAAATCACTGGTTTCAACCAGATAACTATGGGGCCCAATGGATTCAAATGCACCACATTTTATGAAGATCACAGTACCAAACACCCCTAGGTGTAACTTACTATTGGCCCCATAACTAGGGGTGGCCACAAGCAGAGCTATTTGAGCTCAGCTCATGAAAAGCTCGGCTCGGCTCAGTTTCAACCGAGCTCGAGCCCAATTTCCAGGCTCGTTTATTAATCGAGCCAAGCTCAAGCCTAATAAAACTCGAATCGAGGCTTGCAAGTCGAGCTTGATTAGCTACATATAATAATAATAATTATTATAGAAAATAATATATAATAAAAATATTATACATATAATAATTTTATTTTTATATATAATAATAACTAATTATTATAATTCTTAATTTTTTAAATATCAAATAAAAAATGTTATATATATATATATATATATATTATTTTTATAAAACATTTTTCTCAATTCGTGCTTGAGACGAGCTTGAGCTTACGAGCTTTTGACTCGAGCCAAGCTCGAGCTCAAGGTTCGAGCTCGATCCATGCTCGAGTTCGAATCCACACCGCCATAACAAAGCAAAAAAGGAAAGTCAAGCAATTTTTTTCCACACTAATAATACATTTTAAGTTCCTTCACATGGGCCATGGCTCATACTTGTAAGGCAAACAAGTTCACCTAAGAAATGAGTGCAATGACAAAAGCAAAGGACCTATAGGTCCTATGGCATGCCTACATCAAAAAGCATAAACTTCACAAAGAAGCTACCAGACGTATCCACCTTGGAGAATTCCATAGATGCCTCAGACACCCTGGAAAACATTGTTTCCAAGTCAAGGCAAAACATTTTGACTGACAAAAGGAACGTTCAAAAGGTTACCAATATATTCATGGATTCCCATACCACTCAAACTTCTCTTATGTTGCAACCACAATTATCATGGTTACAAGACAAGACAAAGTAACAGGATACCATTACCTAAGTGTTGAAGCTGGCACCCATGTGCAGATGTGCCACCTAAGCATTGTTAAACCATAGTTTTTTTGACAAATAAGGCTTGTTAATCTTTTTTTTTTGGACATGTTCCATGTTGGCATGTCTTATTTTCAATGTCTTCAATAAAAAAACTAAAAGAAAGCCAATAATAATAAATTTTGCAATATTAGGTTCTATTTGTTTACAATGCAAATTCAAACTAGATGCAAAAATTGTGCCTTTTTGTCTCATTTTCATTCATTGGAAGTGTAACTTTGAAATTTCCTGTCACAAAAGGCTGATGCAAAACTTACACCACCTTCATCCTACCTTTGCTCCCTCTCAAATAAAGTAAAACCTGAAACATACTAACATATGTGCTATCACAAATAAAACACAACGTAATAAGTAATAACAACATATGATAAGATGCCTGCCTTGCTATTTCCGTTGCCTAAGAAGGTGCAGAACATATATGCAAAAAAGGAGTAATTTAATGACATGCCCCAGAAAAATGCCTTACTGCCCAGGTATCCCTTATATGTAATTATGTATATGTTGTTTCAATAGCTATGGTTTAATTATTACTAGAATATGTAACAAACCAGAAACCAGGCATGCTCCCCAAACAATGAGCATGATTGTCTTATAGAACTAATATGCTGAAAAAAGAAATTTGCATTAAAAGATAACAATTGTCGTGATAATAAAATTTGTTACAGCATCCAAAGAAAAAAAATCACAGCTAGAATAATCAATAATGTTCATAAAATCATAGGAAAACAACCCAAAAGAGTAGGAGGTCATAACACCTAGCCCTCAGGAAAGGGATCAATGCTTAGAACCCAGTAATCAGCCCCTGTATAGGAAACAAGCAGGATGTTGTTTCTACTACAATTTGTAGGCATTGAAAACTTTTTTTTATCAATAGATACTGAACACTTGTAAGCAGTGCAATGCAATAAAAGACTTTTGAATGGATGACACCTCAAAGGAACAGCAAAACTTACCTGGTGATGAACTGCATGCAACAGATGAGGGAGTTGCAGGAGATGCACATTCTGATAAACCTGTGACTCTAGGGCTTTTGTCAGATAAACTTGGAATGGAACCATTGCTTGTTCTCATGTTGTTGGAACATGGGAGCAATTCACTTTTGCAGGTAGTCTCATCATGACCTTCGACCTTCTCCTTTTCATACTTTGCCAGACCCTGGCCCCATCCAAGCCGCTGCTTCTTCCTTGAGCATGTATCTTCAAATGGTGTACTGGATGTTACACCTGCAGCAGCATCCCCAGAAGAGGATTGAAATGGAGTTGCTTTTCCATCTTGTGATTCAAGCTTAGTATCATCCAAATCGGCTCTGGTGCTTTTTGAGCTACTTGAATGACTAAATCCAGAGCCTCGTGATGACAAGCTACTAGATCGGGTCCATTTCAGAGGCTTCCAAGCAATCGAGCCCAGTGTATGGTCTTTGTCATATCTGTGGCCTGTGGCCAAGCCATCCACTGCACCCATCTTATCATGATAATCTTTTAAGTGGAGTTGATCCCATGACGAATTTTCAATGTCAGAATGAGGGTGAGATGTGTATGTTAGCAGATCATCAACTGACCTATGAGAACTTAAATCATGCTGCCTGCCTGACGAACAAACAGAGGCGTCACTGGTATCCAACAGGTGCCCTTTCCATTCCTTCTGGCTGAAAAACCCTTTGTTCTCCCTGTTGTTCCTGCCATACTTCCACTCAGCACGGGACGCAGATGGCCGGCAGAGTTCGTCTTCCACCATCCTCTCACTTGACCGCGAAGGCGTACATCCATGTCCAGATTCTTCCGAGAACAGCTGATAACCACCCTGCTTACCATGACCTTCAGCAAAAAATAATTACAAAAAAAAGAAAAGAAAAATCACAACAAAATCAAGACAAACACAGTATTGTAGATTATAGACCTTGCGGAAACAGGGGAGAGAACCTATAAGCAGTGACCAAACTCACAACGGAAGCGAAATCTCAGATCTGTGGAAAATGAACAAAATTGGGGAAAATGGTAAAAAAAAAAACAAAATCCAGGAACGAAAGCAATGGATCCTCGGCGAATAAAGAACACATTCAGTTTTTTAAGTTTTTTTTTCCTAGAACAAATTCTGAATTCTCGACTGGGAGGGGGCGGAGACAACATACAAGTTTTGGCCAGGAATCGATTAGGTTTGCTCTCTCTTGCACCACACCCATCAACGCAAAAGGAAAAGATGAAAAGTATGGGCACGTAACCCTATTTTTAGAATAATCTGAGTAAAGTGGGAAAAATGATTCCGAAGCCCTAAATCTCCTACAAACGGTAAGGAACTCCAAAACGTACCTGGAGGCCTGCGTAACTCGTCTGAACCCCATCGAGCGAGCTCCCGTGATCCGTGATGAGAGTGACAGTCCCTCCATCTGGAAACAGGGCCTAAGGCTTCCGGCCTCTCGTACTTCTTCTCCTTGAAGAAATCCTTCCGATCCCAGGGCAAGGGTTCCGGCGGCATGAAAAAGCAGTCAAGAGCATCGGCAACCAAAAAATTCTAAAGCCGAAGGAAACACGAGACTTCACCTATCAACGCCCTCTCAGCTAGGGTTTGAAAAGGCCCGTGCACAAGAAAACACCAGAGGAACAACCCAACAGCCAATAACGAAACCGAACCACCATAGTGAAAGAGATCTCCAATGGCGAAAAACAGATAAATAAAGAGCGCCTCTTTGAAGTCGAGAACAAGCCGTCCTCGGTTATACTTCGATAGTGGAGAAATAAATATGTAGGCAGAGTAATTAATCAGCGACCGTCGCCAGCGATGGTCGTCTCTCAGACTCCGAGCGGAGAAAAGACAACAGACTGAATTTCAATGGAGGGAGAGGGAGGGTAACTCATTTCACGGCGCCATTAAACGAAATTCCAATCTCCTGTCGTGTCCGCTAGATTATCTCTCTCTCGGTATTCTCTTTCTCCCCCCCTTTTCTTTTTCTTTCTTTTATTTTGGTTCAATTTTCTTTTTCTTTCTTTGAACGCCCTTGCTCCGTCTTTTTTATGTTCCCTATTCCTAAAATACCCTCTGTACTGTTTCATGATTTACGTGTACTAATGAACTGATTCCACGTGCGAGTTGAGAAACTTATGGGTGAAACGTGCCTCCTCTGTTTGCAGGGTTTATGTAAAGAAAAATCCGGATCCGATTATATGAATTAAAAGAAAAACAAGTTACGTGCAGATGAGATTGTATTGAATCAAAACTCGAATTTTTAACCATATAAAAGTAATAATGCCGATACATCATCCGAGAATTTTATTTTTTTATTTTACCGTCCTTTTTGACCTCTTCTCTCTCCATTGAATTCTGTCTCCTTCTCTTTACACGTGCAAATGCATGTACGTGCCAAGATTAACCAAAACCCGGTACGATGGACGATTATCGCATATCCGTTTTGGCATATTCCGTTCCGTCCCTCGCCCCTAATACATGTATTGAATTTTATCGTTGTCCGTACCTTCGTGGGGCTGAAAATTCCATCCCCATCCCCCGAATTTGACCCTCCCCGCCCCGGCCATTCTTAATTTCTTAAGCGTAAATTTGTTATTGGAGAAAATATAAAATATAATATATATATATATATTGCCTATTCAAAGAAGAGAGAAAAAAAAATGTATAGATAATACATGTATTATAACATGTTATTTTATAAAATTTAAATTTTACATTATATAATACAATATAATATATTGTTTATATACATATAATATATATTAGGGAAAATTCCCGATTAGTACCATGTATTTTGGGCCTAATTCTATTTTGATCCCCAAATTTTAAAATGCAACAATTCAATACTCAAACTTTTAAAGCGTGACAATCCCGTACCTGTCATTAACTTAATCAGCCGTTAAGTGGCATTTGAAAAAAACACAGATGCCCTTCAAATGTCATCTAATTTTCTTTACCAACAATCTAAATGTTGACAAAAAATTATCAGTCCCAAATCCTTGCACCTTTCAATCAAGAAAGTTGGAGTCATATAATCAGTCGTTAAATGGCATTTGAAAAATACACAAATGCCCTTCAAAAGTCATCTAATTTTCTTTACCAACCATTCAAATATTGACAAAAAATTAACAGTCCCAAATCTTTGCCTCTTATATTCAAGAAAGTTGGGGTCACCAGAATGCCCAATTAAATATGACTCCAACTTTCTTGAATGAAAGGTGCAAGGATTTGAGACTGATAATTTTTTGTCAACACTTAGATTGTTGATAAACAAAATTAAATGATACTTGAAGGGCATCTGTGTCTTTTTCAAATGCCACTTAACGGCTAGATAACAGTTAGTTAACCATAGGTATTGGATTGTCACGTTTTGAAAGTTCAAGTATTGAATTGTTCCATTTTAAAGTTCAGGGCCCAACATACATAATAGTAATTGGAAATTTTCTATGTCATATTATAATATTTAAGATATGATACAAAGATCATTTATTATGACAGGTTTGAGGTCAGGTTTTTTAGATGTTTGAGGTTGGGTTAAGGTGGACAAATACCGCTAACATTTTGTCTCCAGGCACTTAGTTGGTCATTGTATGTAAAAAAAATAATAGTTGCGATGATTTAAAAATGACAAATTTCTTAAAGTACCTTTATGGTTTAGGAAATTGATTAATCCTATCGTTAATGTTTATATGTTATCTTAAAGTACAATTGACATCATCATTAAGCACTAATGGAAAAAATAAAATGTCGAATTTATAGGCACAATTACTTAAAATACAATTGCCTTCCACTATTCCCCTACTATTTACATATTGTCTTGAGAGTAGTTGGATCTACGGATGTTTCAAAAGCTTTAAAACTTGTGTGTAAATATCTCCGAATCTGGAAAGGTTTAATCTATTGTGTACATATTGCCCTCCACTATTCCCCTACTATTTACATATTGTCTTGAGAGTAGTTGGATCTACGAATGTTTCAAAATCTTTAAAACTTGTGTGTAAATATCTCCGAATCTGCAAAGGTTTATTGGATCTATAGGTGGTGTTTCAGAGATCGAAGCTCCATGAATTCGTCTTAGTTCATGGATAAGCAAGTCATGCATCTTTCGGGATCCCAAAACAATGAACATGGTTGTGGGTTGTGGCACGAAAAAAGAAGAAATCTGGCCTTGTAGTGGCCCATGTAGTCCATTCAACCCAACGCAATTCCTGAATCGGCAAATCACGAAGGGGGCAATGTCCGGGAAATTAGGGTTTGGAATTAACAATGAACATGGATGTGGCGCGAAAAAAGAATAAATCTTACCCAAGTATGATTTTCCAAGTTGATGAGGGCGGATTTGGCCCTCCAATGATATTGTGACACATGGCACCTCGGAACAACTAGGTGACACCCGGAACCATTTAGGCAACAACTTGCCTTACCCAAGTTGATGGTGTCCCTAACAGGCGCAACCTGGGAGCCTAGCCCAGGCGCGAACTGGCGACCTGGCCCAGGTGCCGACCTGACGACATGCGAAACGTGCTTATCGACAAATTCGACATGCATATCCCAACATTCCCACGAACCTTTGAAGTTGGCCCACGTATTGAACGATCCGGAGGGTGGTCAACATGCATGGCGGTTGCCCCCATGAATCTCGGACCACTTAGGTGACCTCTCAGAAATCTTGGATATGGTTCATGAAACCCACGCCAAACAATGCCTATATAAAGGCACCAAACCCAATGGCATAGGGGGCAAGTAAGCATATTATAGCTCTCATACTTTGTGATTTTTAGCTCGCAATTTACTATGAGAGTACTGACTTAAGCTTCGGAGCGACCTCGCTGGGTTAAGCCGGGTCCTCTGACATTGATTCCTTGTAGGTCTCTAAAGAACTACGAAGCTCAACAATCAATCCAGTTAGCCACCAGGCAGTTCGACACTTTGGTCAGCTTGACACCAAATAGGCAGCTCGACACTCTGGTCAGCTCATCACCTAACCTGCCTAGTTCGACCCAGTTAAATCGGCACCTAATCTGCCCCCAACTCGGCCTGGTCAACTCGGCATCCAGGTCCTCATCCAGCAGAAGTTAACTTCGGCCTCTAAGTCATCGGCCACTTGGAAGCAAACCAAATGACGAGGTACTTACCACAAAAAATTGATACATCACCAAGAATTGATTCATCACAACCCATTCAACCCAACATACTTCCTCAAACGGCAAATCACAAAGGGGGCAATGTCGAGGGATCTATGGTTGGAATGCAGCATATTAAAAGGCTACTGCATCTTCTCAAATTATAGTAGGTTTTATATTTCTCAGTTTAAAAGACTATAAATTAGAGTAGGTTTTCTATTTCTCGACATTAGTCTGGTTGTAATTGGATCTGACTTATTGAGAACCTATATCCGAATCCGGTCCGAAATTCGATTGGATTTAAAGACTCGGATTTGGATTTATTCCGGCTCTAATATAAATTTTTTAAAATACCAGAAAAATTAAAATTTATTTATTTTTTAATTTTTATATAATAAATTAATGTAAATATGACATACTAAATCTATTATAAATACAAATTTATATAGAATATATTCTTACAATTTTAAATATAATAATATAAAAATTATATATTAAATTAATAAGTATTATAATATAATCGGATAGGATGGGGTCAAATCCAAATCTTATCCAATTATTAATCGGATGTAGATTGTAACATCCAAATCCAATCCAATTATATAAATACATCATTCGAATATGAGATAATCGGATTATATGTCGGATTGGGCCTCGGTTTTTTGGGTATCATTGACATGCCTAGTTCTAGTTCTTTTGTAAAAAATTTAATTTGTTAGAGCTAGGGTCTAGTCCTCACCCTTGGGAACACTCTCGGGGTCTCTTACGTCTTTTCACTCCTTGCAGGTGGGACCCTTGACTACTTGACCTCATAACTTAACAAGTTGCCCTTGGCTTCAGATTTGGCAACAAGAGACCCTAAAAATACCAAATATAACAAAAGTGGGCAAATTAGTTTTTTTTTTTCAAATCCTGGATTTTATGTAATATTTTTTTCAATCCTTTAACTAAATAGTTGCTTCCCTTTCTTTGGAAAAAAATAGCAAATTTCTTTGGTTAGATAAATGAATTCTCATCCTAATTTTGTTATGTAAATTTTTTATATTTGAGTCAAGATGTTTCATTGACAGGGTGATGGGTTGAAAGGTTGGACCACCTAATCAACATTAGGACAAAAACATTTCTTAAACTACCCATATGGTTTAGCTAATTGACTAAGTATAACCCTATTGTTTGACTATTGTCTAACACTACCCCTTTTATTTATGACAATTGACTAGCTCTATCTTTATCGTTAGCATCTGTTAATATTTTGTCAAAACTCATACACACATGACATCACGTAACGTTTATTTTTTATTTTTTTTTAACCCAATGTTACCCTCATCACCATCCTCCTCCAACCCCATCCCTCTCTCTCTCTCTCCCTATATCTTTCTCTTTCTCCCTTTTTCTCCTCCTCCTCCTCCTCCTCCTCCTCCTTCTTCTTCTTCTTCTTCTTCTTCTTCTTCTTCTTCTTCTTCTTCTTCTTCTTCTTCTTCTTTTTCTTCATCATCATCATCATCATCATCATCATCATCATCATCATCATCATCATCATCATCTTCTTCTTATTCTTCTTCTCTTTTTGAAACAAGACACTGATCTAAAATGTTACTAAACTATATATCATAAAACACTCGAAGGGAATCAAAGCTTTGAACTCTCATCTCCGAACTCCACACCTACAACCACTGGGTGACCTTAATGTCGCATCTAAAAACCGTGCGTCTGCTCTATTTCTATTGCGACCAAAATAGCCCACTTTTTCTCCAGCCTTCTTTTACAGAGACATAGGAAACAAACTCCTCACCGTATAGATGGCACAACTTTTGTGGCCTCAAGGAATAGGGATGCCTTTTG